CGCGTTGGCCGGCGCCCGGCGTGGGGTCGGGGGTCGCGGCGCCCTCGCCACGTGCCGTTGGGTCGTCAACCCCAAACCTCCAAGGAAGCCCCCTGGGCGCCCCGCGAGGTTTTGGGGATCGGAGCCCAGCCTGTGCCCTGAGGGCGGCCGGAAGTTGCCCGGGGAGCGGACCAACTGGGCGACCGACTCCCAGGGGACTGTCTGTGCGTCTGTCCGTGGTCCTTCGGGGTGTACGGGGTGGAGGGTGTGTGTGTGGGGTGGGGTAGGAGCATCCAGAGAGACTGGAGCCAGGTTGTCACGGAAGGCTGGCACAGGAACTGTGCGGCCACCCCCTGACGAGTGGGGCCACAGGCGTGGGGCATCTTTTGGTAAAAGTCTGGGTTTGAGTCCTCCAGGTTCAGAGAGAAATGGCTTTCACCCCTGCCAGGAGGGAGAAAAGGCACTTTTCCCTCTTTCCCTCAAGTTGGCCCAGGTTGGAGTACTGTAAGGGGCAAAGATGAAATGTCACTGAGGGCCGCAGACCGAGCCTTCCACTGCCTCTCCCCGCCCTGCTTTCATTCCACCCACTTCTCAAGGGAGGCCCTGAGCCCTTTCTACCATAGGTATGGACGACTGCTGAATCTATGGGTCCAGTTCATTTCTCTTCCCTGACATCCAGGCTTTTGCCAAAGCTACCTCAAATTCCTTGGGTGCTTGCCTGAGCTGCTCCTGCCAACCCCTTATTTTTGCTTGGTGCTACTACTACCCTTACTTGTTCACTGGATCTGCAATTCTGGGTTTTGTCTACAGTCCCTCCTTTTCACAGCTCTTTTACATTGTATGTATGTATGTATGTATATGTATGTATGTTCTGGAGATTGAATTTGGGAGGCAAGTGCTCTCTCTATTGCTTGGGACCACTCTCCAGGTGTTTTGCTTTTTAATTTATTTTTCAGATGAGGCCTCAAGCTTTAGCTCCAGAGAGCCCAGGCCTTCTCACCTGAGCCTCCTTAGCTGGAAATAGAGACCACACCTTTCTTTTATGTGTGTTTGTGTATGTATGTATGCATGCATGTATGTATGTGATATGGTGTTAGGGCTTGAACCTTGTGCTGGGACCTTGTGCTACTGGGCAAGCACTCAAGTCCTTTTTTAAAAGAATAATCTCTGGCATACAAAGTCGTTTATTAAATACATCTTGCCTGTGCTAGGGCTTGAACTCAATTGTGCTCTTGCTGGACTTTTTAACTTACAGCTGGTGCTCTACTACTTGAGCCATACCTATTTTACCTCCTCACTGTTTTACATTTTGAGTGTCTTCAATATTTTAGATCCCCATGCTCTTTTGACTGTTAACTGAAGACAGGTCCCTTGTTCTCATTTTTCTTTTATCTCTCTCAATCTGTTGGTAAATCATGGAAAAATAATGGATAGTCTGTAAAACAGATGAAAGTCTATGCTTCATTTATTAATATGTCTGCTTTTCACTGATAAACTACAGCTCTGTTATGTTAGGGTGTTAACTTATTCTTAGCTTATTTATCTGTAAAATGGGAAAAATCCCAGTACTGCATAGAGTTGTATTGAACACCTATGTAGCGTTTATTTCGTAGTTAGGAGTTCCTTTTTTTGGGGGGGGGGGTCTGGTTGTGGGGCCTGAACTCTGGGCCTGGGTGCTGTCCCTCAGCTCTTCAGCTCAAGGCTAGC